CCATCCCTCTTTCCATCCCTCCATCCATCCCTCCCTCCATCTTTCCACCCCCCCTCCATCTCTCCTTCTACCCCTCCATCCCTCCACCCACCCGCCTGCCCACTCACCTCCAAGCGTGAAATCCAAACACTGATTTTCCCAGCCCAGGCCTCCCAGGCATCCCCTACCCTTCTCCCCACCAACCCCCACCCTCAGGAAAGATCCTGATACTAGTCCTTTACCCATCAATGGCAGTATATGATACGGGCTCAGAGAGTAATGGCTGGAAGAGGCCTTAGAGTTCATTTCGTGTGGCCTCTCTTTTTACGGATAAGGAAACTACAACCAAAACAGCTACAATGACTTGGCCAGGGTCACGCAGGTAGTAACGACCAGAGCTAGGGTTCAAACCCAGATCATCTGACTCCAAAGCCCAGCTCCCACTCTCACCCACTTCTTCACAATTCACAGTTCGAGAACTCCTGGTAGGTTCAGAAATACGCATGCCTCAGTTCCTCATCTGTCACATCAGAAGGGGGCGAAAGGGCCCTCTGAGGTCCCTTCCAATTCTAAATCTATAAGCCTGTGCGGTTCCCTTTCCCAAAGGTGATTGAAATGAATGGATTTTCATCCTCAAGGGAAGAGTTTCAACAGGGTGAAGGAATTAGGGAATAGGGAGCCCCCATTATGACCCTGGAATCCCACCAGGATGGCCAGCTCTGTTCCTATCCCCACTACTCCGTCAGCCGGTGAGGACCCTTGTCTTTGCTCAGCTAGCATGTGGCATGACTATTGACCCCGAGGCAAAGCAGAAAAAGGGGGAAGGGAATGAAAGAAAGGTCAGAAAAGGAGATAAAGGGCCCTGTTGGGGAGGGTGGCAGGGAACCCAGAGGAGGATGGTGGTCTCAAAGAGGGTGCCCCAGCCTCCCCCATGAGCAGCACCCACCCCAGACTTCCCAGCCAGCCCCTGCCCATTCACCCCCTTACACAGAAAAGAGGAATCCCAGTACCCAGCTCAGAAGCAAAGGAGAAACCTCAGGAGCCCAAGGTCAAGGCTAGACCTGCTGGACCCTGAATCCAACTACCCAACGACCCAGGTCAAGTGCAAAAAGGGCTCCTGAGGGTGGCTGGGGAAATGTTCCTCTCTGTCCTTGCTCACACTGAGGAGTAGCGCTCGCTCTCTCTCTCTCTCTCTCTCTCTCTCTCTCTCTCTCTCTCTCTCTCTCTCTCTCCCCCCCTCCCCCTCCCTCCCTCCCCCTCCCTCCCCCTCTCCCTGTATGTCTGTCTGTCTGTCTGGGTGTGTGTGTGTGTCTCTCTCTCTGTATGTCTGTCTGTCTGTCTCTGTCCCCCCTCTCTCTCTCTCTATCTGTCTCTCTTTGTATGTGTGTCTATCTGTCTGTCAGTCTGGGTATGTGTGTCTCTCT